TTCACTTACTCATCACCAGTGTCCAGTACATTGCAGTGCCTACAGACTTTATCTCCTCTTTTACTTCCACTGCAAATCCTAATTCAGACCTGATTTAAACTTTCTAAGAATAATTAATAGCTTATTAGTTGTTCTTTCTCACTACATCCAGTATTTCCTCACTTCGATCCATTCTTCATAGTGTTGCTATGTTGTCTTCAACCTTGGTTTTTAACTGCCATCACAACACACAGTTTTGTGTCTCAATTCATTATAGGGTGTATCACAAATTATAACCACCACTAAGTAAATCTGTAGGTCCTTTTTTTAAATAAATGAAAGTTGACTTGGATATTTAATATTACTGTTCTTCAACTGTTTTCCAATATGCTTTCTTGAGTGGGAGAGGGAGTGGAGTGACAGAAAAGTGTTAGGAATTATGGAGAATCCTGGTTACTGCTATGTAAATGATATCCTTCACATCTGTCTTGTTGAAAAGCCCTACCATAAAAAAATAAATAAATAAAAGCTCTGATCATGTCACTCTGCCATTTAGAACCATCAATGGTTTCCCACTGCCTGCTAATTTAAATACAAACACCCACGTCTGGAATTCAGTATCTTTATCATATGATCCTAGCTGAATCTGGCCAACTTTAATTCCCACCATGAATCTACATATGAGCTTTTTAGTTAGCAAGTCTGGACTATTCTTAAGCATACCTTATACTTTTCCATTTTCTTTCCTTGGTTCACACAGTTCTCTGTCTTAAACGGCCTTCCCCTGCAGCCACACTCCCCCAGCCCATGAAACCTCCTCTAATTCTGTAAACCAAAAGGTACTGACTCTTTCCAGCATGTTTTTACCTCTAAAAGCACATATAGAAAGATAATTATTATGTATGTGCTTCCCACATCCCACTAAGCTGTGAGTTCTTTGATGGAAAAGTTGTGAATTTTATTCTTTTCCATCTACCACAGTACCTAGCACTCAGGATATAGACAGCACTCACACAGTTCTTGATGAGCTGCAGAAGAATAAAGCACATGAATTCCACAGGAATCAATGTTCCAGTATTGTCAGTAAGGGACTACTCTTAAGTCTAATCAGATCCATATCACTAAGAACTATGACACTCAATTCCTTTACTCATTCATTCATTCACACGTTTAATATTTGAGACTTAATGGGGAGTAGAATGTGTGCTAAAATTGGGGAGCATGATACAAGAACAACAACAACAACAAAGGTAAGGTCTTCAGCCTTCTTGTAAAAGTTCAGATGGGAAGGTAAGATCCCAGGGGTAGATTTTGAAACATGGAATTAAAATTCAGGCTTCCTTAACAACCCAGTCTGTAACTGGTCAATTATACTCTCCATTGGTGCAATTAGAAAACGTGATAAAAACAGGAAAAAAAAATGCATTTTGATACTTAAAGGGTCTGTTCAAAATGTAAAGACTTTCACTCTTAAGAAAACAGACCCAAATGTAATTTACCTGTTACTCATTATTAATCAAAATGCTGTTGGTCATATCCTACGCTAAGAAGAAAGACTGCTGAGTGGGGTAGGGCTCAATCACTGGAACTGATGGCATGATAGTAAAGAGCTCTTCATCTCCTGCTTTTGCCCACGTCTGTAATGTGACATGAAAACCTGCAATCCTATTCTGACAGCATTTTCCCAACAATTATTCTAACTGGTACTATACTCACAATAACGCAGTAGAAGGAGCTTGATGAGGAACTGGTAGCCTTGAATTCCAGCACTGCCATTCACCACTACGCCCTTTACCACCACTTGCATTTATAACTTCTTACAGTCTGTTTCCTAACCTGTGAACTGGCCTTCTATGCCTCACCTACCTCATTGGGTTATTCTGAGCCCACAGAAAACAATGCAAATGTCAACTATTCTCCCTCAGAACAACTTCACATCCCATTTGGATTTCGTGAGGAAAAGAAAATGGCGCAATGTGAGTTAACTTCCCTATACTGTCTATTTGAGAAGAAGAAAGAAACTCAGTTCAGTTGAACAGATTTAATTTGGAATCTGGGCTCTAGGGTCAGCTTTATGTAGCAACAACTAGGACCATGGCCAAGTAAGTCACTTACCTTCTCTGAAACACAGTCTCTACACCTATGCTATCAACATGTTAGTTTTGTTTTAAGGGTAAGCAACAGTACGACACAAAAGTATTCTAAAGGACTGTAAAACATTATTTAACCAGGGGCAATAGAAAAGCGAGTACAACAAAACTGTTTGTTCTCCAAGTGCCATTTAGGATTCTCTCGAACTACTGAGACACTGGGCAGAATTGTACATATCATACTCTAAAAATTGTTGCACAAAAAACCCAACAGTGCTCCTTAAAAGTAGATATTATTAAAGTATATATTACTGAAATCACGTTTTATGTGCCCCATGTCGTTAGTTACACCTTTTTATAGAAAGAAAACAATTTAAAACTGAGCACTGATCTAGTGAAAGTAATAGTACATACACAGTACTCTCCACTCCCAAAGGAATAGGACTTTTCCCCCTATTTCTAATTTTAAAAGGAAAAAATTAAAAATACAAACCAAGACTGACTGAGACTTGCAGCTCATTAAAGCTGAGGTGATTTCCCCTATATAGAATTCTATTGATCTCCATAGTCCACACTAGACAAAAAGTGTGGTCAGGGAGGGGGATGATGGATGCCTCTGCCAATAGCACTGAACAAACCTGTTAGCTAATTGCTACCAAAGACAATTATCCCCGCATTGTTTCATAATGGAAACACATTACAAAACTCTAATATACACACAGGGAAATTTGATGATTTGACTGCGGAGCCATGTGCATTGAATTTCATTGCCAAAGGCCAGCCAGGTCGCTGCTGTGAAGGGGAAGAAAGTGTCAGAATATAAGCCACAGTATTTTAAAGCTCTTTACTTCAAGGGTGGGGGTGGGGAGGAAGGGGGAAGAAAGAAAGGAGGAGGGATGAGAAAGACAAAGAAAAGAAAGGAAGACAACCCAGCATCATCCTCCAATTGAATGAAGTTCTACAATCTGGCAATAATTTTAACATTTTTCTGTTATTTTTAAAATGATAAACCTCTAACAATGGTTTGTTAGATAATCATAAGAAGATTTTTTTAAAATCATTTTCTATCCAGAAGAGAATTTCAAAGTTTTTTGACAGGCAAGCAGCCTACTGGCAAGTACGGAGTTAAAGAGGTGGCTTCACAATAGCCTGGTGTGATGATTAAAAATAACATCAACTATCTGTCACGATTTTACGTAAAGGAAAAAAAAAAATCTGACTCTGTAACAACTCACAGTAAAACAGCCATTAACCCAAACAATTATAAAAGAAAAAGCCTCAAAATAGTTATTTGATTATACATAATCATAGTGTAATTCAAGCATACAATATTTACATTTGCCTCCTTTCCAAGAAGCCACATTCTTAAAATACCCTTTCCTTGATATGTTTCTAAATATGCTCATGTCCTTCTCCAGCGTATTCATGCAAGACATTTAATCCTAGCATTGGAATTGTAGGCATCCTGATTCACAGTATACATCAAAATTATATTCAGTCCTATTTAACTCCCCTGTATAAAATGGTACAAAATAAAAAGAAAAATGTACCGAAGATGTGCCAGCATTATAAAGATAAATTAACGGCTACAAAATTTATGATCAACCTATTAACTTCATAATTCACAAGTCAATGAATTCTGTTTTAGTGTGTTTGATGCTGCTCTGTAGAGGCCGGTCTACCTGCTTCAGACTGTGCCGACTACTATTTTGACAAGACGTGGATAGCAGTAGGTCCAAAGCAATCAGAAGGTTGACTTTGACAAATGGCGGCACTGCGGCGAAGTTGAAAATAACACACATCCACTTTAATCTCTTTCTTGATTAAATCGAAACCATACCATTCTGACATCATGTGATTTGCTCATGAAGCATCACTGCAGGTTACTTTAGAGGCTACATCTATTGAAATGATATTGAATTTTTAGGGGAAGTACTTAATTCATTCAAATGAAACCTTCACGAGGTAACTGGGCCACCAGTCACTGATAACTGCAGATTCAAAGAAAATCAAAGGAGAAATCCCTGACAAAGAGTAAAAAAATAAAAATCCAACGTGTACTACGGAATGATATTCTAGTAGGTATTATCTTCTACTTTCAAAGGGGGAAGATTATATGCATAAAGTATATTCCAAAGCTTTTTACCTATTCTACCACAGCTAAGCTCCAAAGGTAAACATTACACTAGGTAATAAAAATGCAGAAGATGAAATTGTCTTTTTTACATGAGACTAGGCAAATATTTATGGGGCAGTTGACAAACTCCTGCCTAGTAAAAGAGCCAGCACTGAGAGCAATTATCCTGATATTCATGACTCACTTTGAATATCACATTGAATATTACTCATAAATCTTTTACGAGCACATCCCCAGAGCTCACTTAACAGCCGGTTTTAATCATGCAGTTGACACAGAGAAAATAACAAAATGTATTTTTTCAGTGGCAAATTAATTTAGGCTTGAACCTCCTCCTGTAGCTCTATTCTTTCCTTTTTTTATTTTTTATTTTCTTGTATGAAGACCAGTGAAATTCACGTTTGCGTTTGGAAGTAGTATTTCTCCAGTCTTGCTGAATTAAAATAAAAAGGATGAATGTTTCTTTTAGAGCCAGTCCCTGACAGTGGTTTTTTAAATGATGTATCTTGTTCTATATATGAAAGATGAATCAATTTTTGAGTTTGATACACATTGTCTATTTTGCTGAATGAAGAGGTGAATGTAGAATTTAGACAAAGAAGAAAGCATTATTCTGAAGACGATTTAAGTTGTGGGTGGTCCTTTATATTGCATTTAATTGTCATTAACTGTTCATGATAGCTGTTTTGGAATCTGGCTCTCATTAAGTGACTTGAAATGCTGTGTAAATTATTTTTAAATTGGGGGAAGGGAGTAAAAGAGTACCATTAGAGAAAAGAAAAAAGGTGACTCACGTGGAGTTTCCTCGTGCTCTTGTAGAAATCTCTCCAGTATAATCCGAGCCATTAATGAGGGTGCATAGTCTACCTTTATAAAACACAAATAGAAAATTAAGACTGTCAAGTTGTGCAAGCAGTTGATATTCCAATATTTTGTCAACACTGAAGATTAAGCCGATTTTAATCAACCACAGCAAGCATCATTCATTAAAATCTTTCCTACTCTTGGTGGCTTCCATCATGATTAAATTATAGCAAGTATGATCTGTGCTGGTGAAAAAAAATAAGTGGGCCAAATTTATTGCATGTAAAATTGGAGCAGAAGGATGGAACAACTTGGAAAGAGTATTCACCTAAAACAGTAAAATAGGACTTTTCTCACCTCTCCTCAATTTTTTCCACCGGTAGGCCAATAGTATTGGTTATTCTAGCCATTCTTCTTTCTTTCCAACTATCTGTATTTACCACTGTTTTGAATTTCAAAAAAAAAAAAACAAAAAACCTTTCTGTTAGCGACTGCCTTCAGAAACTGCCTTAAATTTCCTTAGCCATTAAAAATATGGATTTTACTGATTTTAGTTTATTTTATGCTTTAAGACTTAACCAAAGTTTTGGCATAAGTTCCTTAAATATAAAATATCTTGTTTAATATCTTGTTTGATACTGTAGAGACACTAATAATAAAAAACAACAATAATAATCCCTGTACTGTAAGATCACATCACCATTCTTAGGCTTATCTGAAATGTTACCTATCAATTTAGTTAATACAGAACCCAAGGATGTACCTTTCTTCCAAAGGATTGAACAGAAAACAGGAATACTCAAGCCAACGGTCATTTTAATTAATTAAAAATACATCTACTCTTTTGGAAACATACTGTTTTCTTCTTGGTTCTCAGATCTTTTATTAACCATGGATTTAATTTCCCCAGAAAATAGGTGTGTGTTTTTCAAGAGCACTAATGCTCCCCTAAAATGTCTTTTTATCTTAGGTGTAAGATAGCAAATGTTCCTCCTATATTATCACCACGAATTTTTCTTGACAGGTTTTCAAGTCCTGTATTCATACCAAAATTTTATCTTGATTTAGTAACTAGACAAAAAGGCTGGCTTCATTTGTATGAACAGTTTTTTTCAAATATGTATGTACTTGGATGCCCTTAAATTCCCCAAGTAGAAAGAAATGCTTTCCACGAAGCTGCTTATTCCTAGTAACCCACATCAGAGCTGACACATGAAAAATGGTGAAATTACTGAAGGTAGTCCAGCCTGAATAAGGACTACCTTATTAGTTCAGGTACTTGCATCTCCCTAATTTTCATATTAATCATGTGTCCATCTTTCTCTGAAATAGGGCCATCATGCTTCATGTCAGAATTTAGCATGTAAGTAAAATTCATAGTGCTTCAAATCTCACTTGAAAATATTTGTGTGGAGAGAACAGAATGAGTGATATTATTACTAACAAAATGAGATTTCCTAAAATGTTCATTTTTAGCCTTGAAATAGGAAAATTAGTATTAAGATATTTATAAAAGCACTGATGACCGCCTCTAGTCCCTGCCTCCCCAAATCAACAATACGGTGTTCTTGTTTAAGAGAGCTACTGCATACTGTAATGTACCAATGTTATATATTTCTCATCAATTTTTACAGTATCCACTGATTAAATATATATTGACTCATAAAGCATTACCATCACATCAATTGTCACCAGATGCAAGCATATGTCATTTAAGTATTAACTATCATATAAAAATGGCAGCCTAGTTGTTTAGAAGCCATAATCTGGTACCAGTCATTCCCAAATTTCCCTGATGCATTCGCAGTCACTCAGAAAGTGCTATTACCTCTGTGCTAATCTGAAGCCAAAGGACAGAAAAAATCTTTAGTAACTCTTTCTTTTCTTTGGTTAAATATTCTATATATTTGTGGTAAATAACAGGTTTACCAATGTAGGAGAAAATGTGTTAGTGGCTTAAAATTTTCCATAGTACTAGAAGATGGATGGTGAGGGCAGCTAAATAAGCTAAGCTCAACACAAATATCCATTAAAAATTCAAATGAATATAAATTGCTACTACGTAAAACTTATGTCATCAATATCATCGTCTATAAAAATGCGTACAATATTTGCATCACATTATTTCTAGATGCTGTTAGCTCACTCCTTTATTTTTTTTTTCATAAAGGACAATCACTAAATTCCTAGTTACAGCACAGTAACCTCAAATTGCTGATAGAATCAACTCATAACAAACAAGTCTGAAGACATTTAAAAACTACCTTGCTTTAGAAGTAGAAAAAAGTAAGAATACATGTTTTGCTAGGAGGAGAAGTGCATTTTATATGTTAACTATCGTATCAGATGGTGTAGACACTGCCTAGACTATTAAAACCTTCTAGTAACTGATAGGTAATTGCTCATTTGCTGACTGTAGTGGCGCAAAGCAGACAGAAGCTGTGAGAGAAACCATCCTTCCTTGCTAATGTAACATGTAGAACGTGCTGCTACCACAACACTTAATGCTCACAGTACTGAGTCATCTTAATGCAAACACACATTTTCTGCCTTGCTTCTATGTTTTCCATTATAATGCAACACGAAAACAGTGTACATTGCATTCCATCCCTGTGAGGTTTGCATAAGCAGTTCCAAGTTAGACTAAATATTGTATTGCTCTTATTACAGTGGATAAATATTTCAAAGTTTAGGAATTAAATATTTTATTTTTCAGTATGCTCTCTGCCACTATTATGAACTTTTTATAGCTTCTTCATTCATGGGAAATCTTTAGGGTTTCCTTTTTTAAATGTAAGGCTATTATTTGTTTCCCCAAACAGAAGCAGATCAGAGTTAACAAATAAGTTCAATAAATCACTTTATACTTGGTGTTACTAAGAACAGTATGCTTCTTCATATAAAGAGACTTTTCAAGGCATGTATCTTTTATCATAATAAGTTTGCTAACAAAAAAAATACATCAAATAAACATTACATTTTTAAGTATACAGTTTCTCTCCTCATTTTTATAATAATTAGCATAGGTTTTCTTGGCATATGTCTCTTTACGTAACACAGGTATTTCTCACACTAAATTAAGACAACACATCCAAAGATGAGCATGTCCTGAGCTGTTTGGTTGAAATTTCTCACAAAATAAGAAACCAAGAAGCTGTTTATACATTTACTTTAAAAGAAGTAGACTAATTATGTTAACTGATTTATTAATATATGAAGTTCTTTGTCCAATCATTAAAACTACAAAGAGACCAGGGAGCAATTTAAATGTCTAATGCACCTCAAAACCTCTTTCTTTAAGGTTAATTATAATTCCAAGCAAAGCTACTCTAGATAGGCCCCTTAGGTTTTATGCAGGTTTAAGTAAAATAATAACAATAACATTACCTCATTGGCCAGCTCCAGGAGCACTGGGGCAGTTCCATTTCTCCCCACTCCATTCAGGTACCTAGACAGACAAAGCCAAGTGGTAATGCAGTGACAAGAAAAGGCCAGCATAGACTTGTCAGCATCCCCTGTGTGTACACGTTTCTCCTGGGCAAATGCCACGCTCAACTCTAGTTAAAGTATGCTACTGTCATAGGAAAAGCATTGAAGGGAAAAGGAAAACAAAAAAAAAAACTTACCTCAAAACCACTGGCAACTTACTAACTCAAGTTGGGGGCGTGAGGTATGAGCAGGTTGGGCTCCCTTCCTTTCCATGAAGACAGAAGTGACTTTGAAAAGAACTAGCCCTGTCACTTGGCTTTATCTATACCACAACCACCTTATGTGAAGGAAGTGAGTTTACTCTTATGGTTCGAAAAAAAGCATCCATTGGTTGACACCTTATTAAGAAACAAATGGAGCAGACCTGTCATCGGTGGGTCAGCACACCTTGTCAGGCAATACAAGGCATCATCTTTTATGTCCTGGATTTCTATCATAACCTCCATCCCTCCTCATTCCCTAACTCCATTATAAAAAAAACCTACAAAAAAACCTCCCCAAATCCATCCCAGACATGGAAGCCAGAGTGATTTTTTTTTTAAGCAAAAATCTGAACGTGCCATTCTCCTCAAAACATTTCACAGCCCCACATTAAATCTCAAGATTCAGTTATAACCACTTAATACCTCTTACAAATTTCTTCATAATCTGGTTCCCACCTACTGTCCTCGGTCAGTCTCATCTATAGTCACTGTTCTGCACTCCAACCTTCACCTGGAGAACTCGTGATTCAGCTTACATGTAACTTTCTTCAATCCACCACAAGCCAGGAGTAAGTTAGGTGTCCCAAGGTACAATCGATGAGCACCTTGTAAATCTCTCCATCACTTAACACAGCATCATATTGTATCTACTTGTCCACCTCAAACCCATCCCCCAATGCAGGGTTGAAAGCCTGATGAGGGTAGAAGAATTGTATTTTATTCCATTTACTATGCCTAAAACAGTTTTTGGCTTAAAATAGGTGACTGCATTATACATACATATATTTTTTCTTTAATAAATGGCTGATTTAATAACTTTTAAAAGCCATACTGGATAAGAAAAGAGAATTCAACATGGATGTTTTCTCTACAATATGCCGTTTGAGTGAATAAACTAACAATATCTGTTTGATAGTAAAAATCAAAGTCAACAGATGAGGTCTTCCACGTAACTACCACAAGCAGACACTAAATTGTATTATTTCACAAGTGTGTTTATGAAGATGTTATGATTTTCCTATAAACAAAGTGGAATAAAAGTAAATTATTCAAGGCAGGAAGTCTCAGGATCATTATAACTTCAAAGTAATTCTAATAAGTTCATTTTCCATATATTGGGGACTTCCTTGAAAAAACTGTTTAGGAATCTAATTGAGAAATAAGCACTTTCAGAAGAAAAGAAAAAAAAAAAAAGGCAAGTGTGGTTTAGAGAAAGGTCCCTGGGAACCAGCTTAGCTCAGAACCTCACATCAACTCACAACATTTCCATTGCACTGATAGGGCTGCTCCGGAAACAACCAATCCGTTCGGTCAAGTCTGATCAACTAATCCTGCATTCAAAGCCACCAAACATGCACATTCATTCAGAGTTCAGACTCTGGGTCAGATTAGTTAAGCCTATACTGATATTAGGGTATCTTCACGACTTTCTACTCAACATTCATTTATCCCACAAATATTTCTGAGAGCTAACTTGTATTGGGCCTGTTCCAGGTTCTGAAGGAGCAGCAGGGAATAAAACTTCCATGGTTCCTGCCATCACAGAGAAGATATTGCAGTGGAGAGACAAAGAATGAAAACACAGAAATACATACATAATATACTGAGATATTCTACGATAAAATGGAAGCTTAGACGGGTCGGTCGGGAAGCCATCTCTAAGGAAATGACACGTGGGTCGAGGCCCATAAGAAGGCAAGCGGGGAGCCATGGGAGGAAGAACGTTCCCAGCAAGACAACAGTAAGCACAAATGACGGGAATGTGCCCGGAGTGTCTGAGGACCAGGAAAGGCTCTAGTGTGACCAGAGCAGAGCTTTGAGAGCTGATAGGAAAAAATGAAAAAGAGTAGCTAGACCTCAGACCACTGCCTATGCCAGGGAACTGTTGTTTGGACTCAAAACTCTGTGGTTTCACGTAAATGTTGCATTAACCATTAACCAATGGAGCGCCTCTGTTAAGTTTAAAGAACAGGAGATGGTCAAACAATAACCCACTATATCTATATAGAAACATGTTCATACTTAATACAGTGGAAATTCCTAATTATGAGCTTGTTAAAAGCTGCCTAGTTGCCAAGAAACAAGACCCCAGGGTACGGATGAAACCCGTCTGGGCTCTCTTAGCCAGTGAACAGTAAAGCTCTGAAATGAAACCCCATCTCCCAAGGTCGACTGAGGGGCCTTCAAATGTTGAAAAGGGTAGACTGCTTCTGAATATATTTATTCTCCAATTTGTTTCCTAACTATATTCCGTAACACTTCAGAAGTGCTGGGGAAAAGAAATTAAGTGAAAATTAATTTGAAATAAGTTTTCCTTTCTAGGAACTTTAACTGTCTTCTATACCAAGTGACAGATCAGTTTTATTCAAATTTTTAGATATGCAATCAAAGGAGCATACTAATTACAGAAAACATTCAGTAAGGACATGATCAGAAATTCCTAATGCTACCCTTCTCTGTATTCTCAAAACATCTTGTGCAAACTTGCAGTGTAGACTTTCCATACATTTACAATGGTTTGTTTCTCTCTTCAATTGGACTGGAAGCATCTTGGGAGAGGCCTACACAAATGAATGCTGAACTTACATCCAAAAGATCCTTAGCAAAGATCTGAATTATAACTGAGATATAAGGATGTGATTATGGATACTACATTAAGGTAACCTGGGCCATCTTCCTAATACCTATTTGTAAATTAAAACTACTTTGCACAGAAGCTATGTGCCATCCTCTAAACTTTGCCATAAGAGGGCTAAGAAATGTTTACCTTGTGGGTTGAAACCACCCTTAAAAGATCTTCACGGAAAGTCCATTTTATGTTTCTTTGAGTGTGAAAGATTTATTAGCATCTAAGATTAAAATGATATGTACTGATTTAAAATATTTTTTAAAGATTTATTTATTTGAGAGAGAGAGCACACATGAGCACGAGGTGGGGGAAGGGGTACGGGGAGAAGCGGACTCCCCACTGAGCAGGGAGCCTTATGTGGGGCTGATCCCAGGACCGTGGATCATGACCTGAGCTGAAGGCAGATGCTTAACTAACTGAACCACCCAGGCACCCCTGATTTAAAATATTAAAAAGTTATTTGATCTTCATTATTTTATAATAATTACTATTTTCAAAATTATAATGGCATAACCAAAAAACTACCAAAATTCTGTTCTAAGCTTACAGCTGAATACCACCCTTTGTTGATTCTACTTTTAAAATTTCTGGAGCCCATCTCCAAGTATGCAGCTAATTTTTCCCACTAAAACAGAGCAGCTGAGGGCAGGTACCATGTCTTATTCACATTTGTATACTTGATTCCTGGCTTGGTAGATGGGACACAGTGAGTGCAAAGTAAGTTGTGATAATTAAACAAAAAAGGTAGTTCAAATTTTCAGAAAGTATTTTTGTCATGTAATGTCAATAACATATTTGAGCTAGCCTTTCTTCCATGTGAACATCTGAATGAAATTCAATTGATCTGATTCTCTAAAGCTAATAAAGCTTGCCCTCAAACAGTGTATGTTGGCAGAAGGGAAAAGATGGGAGACAACATTTCTAAACTTTGCCATTGATGGGGCTCTGCAAATCTGACCACTTGTGAGTGTGTCTGTGTGTGTGCATACATGCCCCTGTGCAACAGTCTGGATGGACCTAAATAAATTTTACCAAGTATGTTTCCTGTTTGGAAATAAAATGCCATTGATATGGGGGGAAAGAATAGAGCTGTTTTCAAAATGAACACCAAGCTGTATCTGTACATACACAACATGAAGAAGTGAGGAAATTTCCTCAATAATTCAAAAGCTTGAGAAAACATTTTCAGCTGATATTTGGATACTCTGAACTTTCAGTTAACCATGATGGAATCACACTGTGGACTATATGGTTTATAAATACAGATTTCGAATTCTGAATTGAGATCATCTTAACACTAGCAAGAATGCAGAGACAAAGGAATTCTCTGACTAGGTCCTGGGGGAAATCATTATAAACTTTCTAGACAGTAATTTGGCAACATATAATAAAATCTTTAAATGCTCATTATTTGCACCAGTAATTATACATAGAAATCTTAAAAAAACTAATCCAAATTGCAAACACTTATGTACCAAAATGTTTATCACAGTATTATTTTTATATTGCAACATTAGAAACATATATGTTCAACAGTTATAATTCAGTAAATTATGGTACTTTCATATGATGAAATAATGCAATCAATAAAATGTTTACAGAAAGCTTTCTACAAAGTGATATTATGTTATACACATTTTTCCAAGTACAAAATTCAGGATTCACAATGGTATATATAGTATGACCTCATCTATACAAAAATGGATTGACAAAAGACTAGAATGAAAAATACCACAGTGGTTACCTGTGGCTGCCACAATTATGTGCGATCATCCATTCCTTTCTATACCATCACAGGTGTGCTTAATTTCTACAATATGTATTACTTTTATAAAAGAAAAATAATTAAAGAAAGTATTAGTATTGTCAAACTGCTTAGATATGTTTTGATATAATACAATTTGCCTTTATTATTATCAGCTGGAAAACAAAACTCTAGTAAGGCCAATATACCTTCGAGAATACAGGGACATTTAACCATCACGTTTACAAGAGGCTGTGTGGTCAATCCATCTGAAAGGTAACAGTGTGGCCCATCTCCAAGCACAGAGTTCAGGGCAAAAAGCCAGGGAACAGGGTGGTCAAGTAAGAATTTGGTGAGACTGTTTTCTTATTAGACTGTCCATTACAGCCTAACTTCACATTTCTACTTCAAAATTTGTGACTCCTTAAACAACTGAGATTCTCACATTTAAATAAATTTATAAATAAATATAAATATATGTGTATATATTTCTGTATTCTTATTGCTCACCCAAATGTTCATCATTAAGTAACCATATTTACAGGAAAGAATTTTATTTCTGGCTTGACCTACTCAGATAATCCAATGAAGTATGTTCATACCTCAATAATTAAATACACTTTTAAATGAAACTAAATTTTAAAAAGCAGCACTGAGAGGTCTTAGAAATCATCTAAGTAAAATGACCTTTAAACAACAATGAAAATGACTGTCAGAGGGCAGCCCCATGGCCTGTAAGTGGATCTCCAAATTTCTAGGAAAGGCTCTATTTTCTACTGCTTATGTTACCAAAGCTTTAAAGCCTGGACATAGAACCAAACTTTTATATGACGGCCTAAGATGATCATTTTTATAAACAAAAATGTACTTTGTGACAGGTAAGTAACTTTTCAGTCTTTCTTTGGAGGGTTTGGATTCCAAAGCTGTTGTTGACTTCATAGCACTTTGTGACACATTCTTCATTTTTCATGAATGATTTAGGTTATAACTTGCATTCAAATGTTGATGTCAGTGAAAAGACCATAAATTTGGAAAAAATCAATTCAAATTCTACAAAGACTTGTTTAGAGGGGAATTCTCCTAGACACAAAAGTGTGTGTGCATATGTGGTGTGTGTATCTTTAACAGACGCTACTACTGAAAACTGAACACATCTCTTATCGTACATGGCACAGTGTATAATTTTTTAAAAGGCTAATAACTTCAATACCTTTTATTTTCAATAAACACTTCTCAATTCTTAAAAAATGATTTTCCAGAAACACAATACCGTATTTATTCTAGATACTCATTTCATTCATAAAATTTTCGTGCACAAAAATCATTCATCTAAAATTGGTGGTGTCACTCTCGCCACAGAAACGTTGATCTGTCAATCTTAGGTGTGATAATTTAAGAGCATATTTCAGATAGCTTTCCTTTCCAGTATGTCCTTGAAATAGTTAAGAAACCAACCAACAATTCTAATGCAAACCATTACCATTTACAGTTATAAATTATTCAGTCATATTACAAAGACAATATCATTTTTAGAATTTTTTTTAAAAAGCTACTTTATTTTTTTTTATTTTATTATGTTATGTTAATCACCATACATTACATCATTAGTTTTCGATGTAGTGTTCCATGATTCATTGTTTGCGTATAACACCCAGTGCTCCATTCAATACGTGCCCTCTTTAATACCCATCACCAGGCTAACCCATCCCCCCACCCCTCCTCCCCTCTAGAACCCTCAGTTTGTTTCTCAGAGTCCGTAGTCTCTCATGGTTCGTCTCCCCCTCCGATTCACCCCCCTTCATTTTTCCCTTCCTACTGTCTTCTTCTTTTAAAAAACTACTTTAAACATTCTGTTTTAGAACAGAGGTTGAAAACTATTTATAATAAATTAGGCCGAAATTAAAATATCCCCTGGACACTATGTTGGTGATTTAATACCCAGATTTTCTTTTTAAAATACAAAACCCCATTTAAAATGTGACAGTTGTCTATTATTATCTATCTCCATATGTCCTTACTTGACATGTCTTTATTTTCCATTTCTAAAATGGCAAACCCAATACCTATGATGCAAGATAGAAGTAAACCAAAATTCAATCTTATTTTCTAATGTATTTTTCAATTTGTTGATCTAAATAAGAAAACTTGATTTGAGAACTTTCATACATATATGTAGATACATGTGTGTATTAACATGCATCTATACAAGATATGCACTTACAATAAGTTTAAAGTAGCCAACTGAGATTTCATAATACTGTAAGGATCTCTTACGTAGTATGCATACAATCAAGACAGTCTCACCATATTCTTTAAACACACCATTTGAGAAATCATTAAAAAAATATACCTTAAGTCTTAAGTAAGACTTGTATCGCAATGCCCTGAAACGTTATATAGACAATTAATTTAGTAACCTAATTTATTCATAATTATTATTACAATTAATAGGTACTATGATACCCTCTAGTGGGGCAGGCAGGTCATACCTCTGATAATAACTTTCAATCGCTTCTGAAGTATGATGTTTGGCATGTGTTCTTTTAATATGTTTCTGAAACAAAACAAAAAAAGATCTTTGTTGTGTCACACATCAGTTTCAAGAACAGAATGACACATCCCTCCATCCTAATATCTAGCACATAGGGCAAGCTGAATAATAGTTTGGGGATTTGACTGGTGGTAGGTCTTTTTTCCTTCTACTTTATGAATCTATGCATTTTAATCTCTAATGCTTGGCCAGGATGTCTTCAGCCTGTACCACAAGGTACAGTATATATGTAAAAGCCAACAGGGTCATAGTAATTGAATCTAAATAAGTTTGCTTAGGGTTGCAGAGGGCAAAGAAAAACTTGTTCTCTCTTTCAACCTTTGTATTAATTTTCCCTCAATTCAATTCCATCTAAGTCCTCTGCACTCTAGTTTTACAATCCAATTGCCATTTTTAACCAGGAAGAACATTGCTTAAAAACAACTTATTTGAAAACTACAAAAAGTAATTCCATAGAGACTTGCCACTTGACTGACACCTGTCATCTCATGATAAATGACTCCATTTTCTGCCTCTCTTGCCTTCTGCCACTCCAGCAATGGTCATTTATCATCATCTCTGTCAGCAATGGAAAGCAGCACTGACAGTGCAAGTCAGCAAACATTTAGCACATGGAACCACGCAACACAGGGAAATTATTATTGTCAGAATAATAATGGTTTAGCATAATTTATTACAGGTCCACCAAATAAGCAAAGGCTAGATGTTATTAGACAGATGGATGGGTAGGCTTGGCAGGCCTCCACTGAGACGCAGGCGGTGCTTGATGTGGAAAGGAGAACATCCTCCAACCCAATCAGAGAGCTGGCAGTTCAATTACAAAGAAATAAAGGGACATTCATCATTCAATTAGGCACCTGTCAACCCTCACAAAGGAGAAAACTTCTAACCTGGTACTCCTGGGAGAAGATGCTCAGCAGAGTGGCCTGCGATTGACTGGAACAAATAAAAGAAGGACAAAGTTAATTACTGGAGTGCACGGCAAAGAAACAAAAGAGAAAGGAGCTTCAAAGGTAGGCCTGCTGCCCTGTAATCTAACGGAACATGAAAACAAGTGTGGAAAAGTTGTTCCAGATGAACACCTCAAACAAAGGCTTCCTGCTGCTAGGTCAAGGAGACAGAAAAAGGGAAAGGGAAAAATATGGATGGTCTCGGAGCAAACGATCATACAATTTGGACATGTTTTTAACTTTAGAATGATTATAAATCACGCCTGTAGCGTGCAGTTATGTTAAAACAGACCAAAAGGAAGCAAGGTTTATTTCCATTAGTAAATGATAAAGAGTCAAATCCCATAAACAGTGGAGAACAGGCGGTTCACTCGCTGGCAGCATTCTAAATTTATTTTGTTAGCGGACAGGTATCCTCTTCTGCAGCTATCTCAGAGTCAGGGGGACAAACTTTGGTTTTTCACTAGAAGTAGCACCGAGAGACCACTGGAACGTTCCTACTGACACTAGCAGGCTTTGAAAATAGGAGCTTTCACAGCAGAAAGCCGAGGTCCTAGGGGTACGTCATTCCCAAAGACGGCCATAAGCCCTATACATCCAAGACTCCACACAATGTCAAACACTTGGCAGTGAAACAACCTGGAAAACACCCTTCCCAAGTGGGAATTTGCCTCTCACAATTGTGAACATTTAGAAATGTAACAGATTTTTTTTTTCCTCTAAAAAGCAATCAATATCCTACTGCTACTCTTTTTGATTGCCCTCTGTAGATATATCTACCTTATCATATCTTGAGAACAATTAATTATTTCTGATATACTTTCCTACTAAATGCTATCTGAACAAATTACAGTGTTAATAATTCGACTTTTATGGTACACCAAAGCACTATGAATAATTAAAATTTTTCTATGCATGAATGAAACCTCTTAAGCTCATCACAGGTAATTTGGAGAGTGTGAAATAAAAACAATGACAGCATATTTCTTTACTCGCTGCCACAGTGTTGTCATCTTCTGCACACCATCATAGATTTGGCTTCGAAACCCTTTCCATTCTCGTCAGGCTATAAAAAAATAGGTTAAAAAAAACACAAACACTGTGAATGTTTAGCATGGAAAACCGATTGTTACTAAAGAACTGCTTCAATAACTCAAAAGCACTGAGATTGAATAAAAAATTATAAAAAAATTATAAACTCGCTATAGTCCAATTTTTTCAGTTTCCCTTTAAAAATAGAAACCACCTTTGAAAAAGTCAATTTTACACATAAAATCTTCCTATTATTCCTGGCTTGTCTGAACTTCATATGAAATCACATACCACAATAGGGTTTCTGACAAAGCTTCTGAAAAAAAAAAAAAAGGCAAAATTAAGCCCAGATCCTTACAAACTACTGAATAAGTCAATACATTAGATATTTATGTGCAATAAACAGACCCCCTCCTCATTGTACAGCAAAACATATTTAGGTTAGCCATTTAATGATGGACAAAATGTTGGTCGCTAAGGGTCAGAAAACATGATGGAAATAAATGTGCTTGTAATCGGCAAGTTGGGGACCAATGACTAAGGAGGAGGAAACAAAACCGTGAATAAAACAAAAATGTAACTGTGGACACCCAGAATGGGAAGAGTAAGAGACAGCTGGAGAAATAAGTTCAGGAATAAACAGTTTCAGAGTAAGAAGTTGGTCAGGAGTTGAAGGTACTGTAAAAATGGAAGATGAGATAATGTCTTTAGCCAGGAAACTACCTTTAAACTGCTTAGAATTCAATTCAGTGGTAACTGTGGACAGAGCCTATGAAGTAACCCGTTTTCTCAATGGCCAATGGGGTTAGAGAGAGGATTCCAGGAGGAGGTAAAACTGGCCTAGACATAAGGAGAGCAAATGACATACTTGGCACAGTAAAAAGGATAGACAGACCTGGGTCCAAAATGCTTTGGGTTTCGTTGACTAGACAGAGCTGTAGAGAGCTGAATGACTTCTGCCAGGTTATTTGCCAACCAAGCTCTGCTAAGCTTACAGAAGAGTGTTCTGAACATGACTCATACCTTACAGAGCAGGAAACTTATTAGTGCAACCAAGACACTGACTCCAGTGTATATCATTTGTTATTTTCCTCCGGAGTGTTAATTCTGAGAAGATATTCCAAAGGGAAAGAGGCAAGAGGAAGTTAGAGCAATCACAATCTTCAAGGGTACAGCTCTGAAGAGCTTATCATGTCTGCCCTTCCCCCACTGCAACCTCCCAGTGTTTGATTTGATTGGCGAAGAGTGCAGAAGTTTTGGTATAAATTCAACAATCACCAGGTTCACAGGAATATGGTTTTCAGCCAAAGAAGAGGGGAGAAAAAGACACTGTGTAACTGAAACATCTATCTTGAACACCATAGTCAATCAGTCAGCAGTATTCACTGAGCATCTATACTGTCCCGAGGTCATGGGTAGGGGGAAATATGCCATCAAGATAAAAAAAAAAGAAAAGAAAAAAGAAAGTAACCAACTTAGAGGAAACTTTCAACCTGTATGTGCAGCCAAAAAAGCAAAAATGAGAACACTGTCAAGTACCAACATATTTTTTAGGGATCTAGCAAAGCAAATCACACTCTGCATCCTCACATATTTCAAGACTACACTGGCTTTGGAGCCTACATGTTTCTCTGAGCATATATGTGTTTTAGATTTACATGTTCAAAAACAGAGTCACTGATTTTGCACAAATGCCCAAGATATATTATTAAAACCTCTTCAAAAATCAGTTTGTCTTTTTTCCCATGCTACCCTCCCAGATTACGCACCTCACTCTGTAGCTTTTTGAGAAAAGAAGAGCAAGCCAGTGGACCCCTAGAATGGCACAGAAGAGGGAAAGAGCCCAGGGCCTTGAGAACATTGTTGAGATGCTCAAGCAACCATGAATTGAACTGACCACACTCCATACTTCTTCTGAGTAATAATATATGCCTTTTTTTTTTAACCTTCAAAAAGAAGAAAAATACCCACTCCAGTTTCTATGTGTTCTGGAAATAGGAGACGTGATGGAGGAGGAGAAAAGGTACTTCATCATGATGGCACGTGTATGGGATGCGCTACTTGGAAAGGACTGTCCATTTTTGTCCTTTCTAATTCTCTTCTTAGCTGGCAGCTACTGTATTTGGCTTTCTTAAAATTATTCCTCTGCCTGTCACTGTGTCACTAAATTGATATACCCAGAGATCATAAATTGGGCGGTGTATATATGATTTTTCCATACAGACTTTAAATATTGATAGAGTACTATTTACTCTCATTTTATATTGCATCCAGGACTCTTCAAATGTCAGGTATATGAAAAGGCGATATACCAGCTCCCCATTCAATATTTAATCAACATGTCCTCAAATCCGTCCAGCTAAGATATTCAAGTAACCTGAAGCATATTAGAGAAAATGAACATCAGAGGGTTTCAAGAGTGCTGCAGAGACTAGGAGCAGACAGAGCTCAGCACAGTCCTAGTTGCAATTCAACTTTCATATAAGAAGGAAGTCCTCAAGTTCCCAGTGGAGACTTAAAAAAAAAAAAAATAGAATCTTAAGGAAGAAGACACCACACATTTTATGTTCTTCCTCTTTCAAGTACTCAACCTCTGAAAAAAGACCATAAAAAAGTAAGTACCATTATTTAATTTCCAAGCTCCTTTGCTACAGAATCTGGGAAGCTTAAATGTCTATACTTTACTGAGCTCAAAATTCTCTGAGCAAAATAAATATTATTTCTGGGACTCAGAAAGCAGTAAACCAATTAAAGGGATAGGAAGCAGGATACTCCTACAAAGCAATAGACTTGGAGACCTCATGGTTACAAGGTGCAACCTCTCTTAAGTCTGTGAAAGAACACAATGGAACACTGGCTCTTTGTGGTTAATGATTCAGAATACTGGTCAAGGAAGGTCTTCTATGACAGCAATGCATCTACCCTCCCTCACTCCCACCTTCCTACACACCTACACACAAATTTCAAACGGAGAGCCTTTTTCCACCCTATAAAATCAAAATGAAATTCAATAAGATAGCAAGACTTGGTACAAAAAAAACACTTTTTTTTTTTCAGAAACAGATAATGCGAAATGGAAACAATCTGGAGAGAGATTATACTGAGACTCTGATACTGGGGGGTGGGGGAGGAGCAGATAGGAGGACAAAAATAGTTAAATTCAAGAAATAGAGAAATATTTATGCATTCTACCTACTTCCCCATTTCCTCTCTTCCCAATTTCCAACTTCATATCAAGGTTGCAGACTATATTTTATGCCTAATCATGGCAAATATTCCCATAAATAACTATATACATGGCATTAGGCTTAGCAATAATCAATTATCAAAAAAATTTTTGAAAGGCTATAGGTGTTATATATATGAAAAAAGAGTGGTTACTGTCCCAGGCTCTTAACTATTCTTGCGGATAACCTGAAGTCACATATAAAACAGCTCTACAACAAGAGCTAAAATTTATAGAGATATTTACTTTGTGCTAGACACTATACTGGGCACTTTGTTTTACCCCCACAACAACCCTCTGAGGTCAGTGTTATTATCTTCCTTATTTTAAAGATGTGGAAACGAAGGAAGAGAAATTAAGTAATACACACAATTGCTCATTTGTAGAGCGGGGAATCAAAATCCAGGCCCAATTCCCAAACCCAAACTCTTCATCTCAGTGCTAGTCTTCCTTTCCAAAAGTTCCCAGAAATCAGTTCTACATGTCATGTGTACTAAAACCCCTACTTGAGCATTTATATGCTATCACATTACACTCTAGACAACCCTGCTAGGTAGGCACTGTTGCTTTTTTAATAGGCAATTGAAGTCACGGATGTTTTGAGCAAATTCTGTGGCCTTAGACAATATTCCCTTTTTTAAAAAAACCAAATTGCAGTTTTCCTTTAACTAGCTACATAAAAATGCTGTTCTTTTTTGTGTTGAAAGATCAAGGAACTACTGACTTCA